ACCCCACACTGGGGATTGAGCCCACAACCCAGGCCTGTGCCCTGACCGGGAATTGAACCCTGACCTCCTGGTTCATTGGTCGATGCTCAACCCCTGAGCCGTGCCGGCCGGGCTACGAGAGGATTTTTTAAAATCAGAATGGGCACACATGAAACAGAAGGGGTCTGGGGTTTGTGGGCTGTTTTAAGGTAACCACTAATGGAATTCAAAAGGGAAGGTGTCTTTCCAAATGCTTTAAAAGATAAATGCACACAGCGGAGTCCAGGCACAAAAGGCAAAACTGCAAAGAGGAAGCAAATCAATATACATGGGCATTTATAATAATTGGCTGGCACGTCAAAGTGTAACATAGAACAGGAAATGCAAAAGGTGACAGCTACCCTATTGACATGAAATTATGATTCTGTCAAAAAATGAAATGCAACAACTCGGATAAAGAACACCTAACACAAAATGACCAAGTGTGAAAATAAATGGGGGCCAGAAGGAGAAGGCAGGAATTCTAGTAAAAGGAAACGAGTGGTAATATTAACCAAAGGGTGATTGAAAGCTAAAAGTCTTACACAGAATAAAGGGTCATTACACACAGATAAATCATATCACAGAGACATAACAGAGCCCTTTATGCACCCAGTATGTAGCACAAAAGCAGACAGAATGACTCAAGTCACAGGGGGAAATTTCAGCTGCTACTATCAGCCTGTGACAGAGCATCAGGTCCAGATGGGGGCATAGAAGGTATGAAATATGGAAGATATTGTCAAAGCAGAATTAATCCCTCTCAGATTAATTCTAAGATTGCCCTGTGCAACAGGAGAGCTATGTCTGCTTTGAGATGTGGTGAGCATGGCTGAGGATCTAATTTTAAAATTTTATTTCATTTTAACTCAAAATAGAAAAGCTGCAGCCTTTTCTGTGATATGCGACTGGAAGGTTTTGGCAGAACTACATTTTGCTTTAACCATTGAAAATTTAGCATCCATATTTAGATGTGCTATAAACACGAAATAAATACTGGGTAAGAGTGCTAAACATCTCATTTTTATATTATTTCATGCTGATTTATTTAATAAGAATTTGGATATATAGGATTAAGTAAAAATGTATTATGAAAATTACTTTCACCTGTTTTTGTTTTTGTTTCTAACTTTTTGAATGTAGCTACTAAAAGTATAAAATTACACTTTATGGCTCACGTTGTATTTCTATTGGGCAGCCCTGCCTAAGAAATAGGACACACCTTGTTCGGAAAGTTTCAGAGAATAGTTTGCAAAAAGCAGTTACTGCTAGATTACATTGTAGTAAGAAAAAAATATAGCAGGAGAGACTTTAAATCTAGAGAGAACGTTCCCTTATTTTTTAAAGAAAGAACTAAGAGCCTAAAAAAATTAAACATCAAAATTCTCAGGATGCAATCAACTTTAACATAGTCCCAGTTAGTCATTTCTCCTTGCTTTCAGATCGACACCTCTGAGCACCTGATACAATAGGCCCTCCTCCCTAGAAAAAGCATTTTGCTTAGAATCTGAGGAGGGCCACTGGGGTCCGGGAGCCCCAGGCTACCCGTGCCTGATCATCTAAAGTAAAAAAAAAAAATGAACTAAGCAGGCAATTAAGATTCAAGGAAAATGAAACAAAAACCTCCAGGAAACTAGGAAAAAGAGCTGCAGGAACAGGCCAGGATAAAAACGCCAGAACTGTTCAATCCATGAGGTGTTTCTTTGGAAAAATCAAACAAAACTGAAAACCAGCAAACGGCTTAAAAAAAAGAAAACATCAAGGAAAAAATGGTGTAAGTGTTGTAAGAAATGAGGAAGACCATCGATTTCCAAAAACCACAGTTTCAGCATTCAGGGAACACATACTCTGCACAACTGCAGAGCCATATGTTGGTAAAACAAAATTTCCCATGAAAAAATCTAAATTACCCAAGTTGACAAAATAGAAAATCTAAATCAACAACAAACATTTCTGTATTTTCTAAAAAGTAAAAAAAAAACCATGCATTTTCTGCTCTCCCCACTGGCATTCAGGATGTGATGGATTTGCTGGTAAATTACTTTAGAGTTTTGAGGTACAGTCTTCTCTTTCAACAGTCTGTGTTCAACAACTCAGGCTACTCTCGGCCCCATGTACAGTCAGCTCAATACTGTACTGTCAGCTCAATATAACAGCCCTGTCTTGTAAGGTAAGCGCTCCTGGGTCACAGACAATGGCTGGGAGGTCATTGGTTTATCTTGTGAAGCAAATATGACATTGCCCCCTAGAGTTTTCTAAACTGCGGTGACATAAGGACTAGCAGGGCCTGGCCGGAGTGGCTCAGTGGTTGAACATCCGCTGAGCACCAGCAGGTGGCTGGTTCCACTCCTGCTCAGGGCACGTCCCCGGGTTGTAGGTCTCATCCCCACTCATGGGAGCTTATGGAAGGCAATGCTTCTCTCCCCCTTTCTCTCGGGTGAGGATTAAAAAATAAGAAACGGGTGTGTAGATATAACCATGTAAACATTATCTCCTCACCAATTCAGACTGACATACTCAAAATTCAAAGGACGCCAACAGGAAATGATTTAAGGGAAGGCTGCATGTCAGATCCACATGGAGACCTCTCAGTGAACAAAGTAAGATTTAAGTGAGAGGCTCACCGTAATGCTCATGGAAAGCATTCGAGCTGAAATTAAGTAAGACACGTGCCACCTTCCGGGTTACATCGTTTAAACTGATTCTCCCTTCCCCCAGCAAACATTTCCCCGTGTTACCTCTGGGGCTGACTTTCATTTAGCAGGTGGATGGCAAGGAGCCTGACCCGCGAGCCGGCAGCCAGCTCGGGGCGGGAGGAGCGCGCCTTCACCGCGCCTGCCTGTTCTGAGAGGTGGGTCATTTTAAGCGCTCTCTGCGACAGACTTGCTTTGGTGCCTAGAAATGAACAAATGCCAGTTTTAGATATGAAAGGGAAACGTGTGCTTGTCTCACATCCCTGCTTGTTTAAAAAAAAAAGAAAAAGACCGACCCCAGTCTGCCTGCGCCTCCCCACACCTGGTCCCTAGTGCTCACCGAGGAAATGACCTTTCTGGAGAAAAATCACCCCGTTCTTATCCACGCTCTGTCCTGGGACCCAACTTTCCTCCTCACCACCTGCCACTTCTTACCCGCTCCGCTCCTTTGGAAGTTCTAGCCGGGAGCAGGAAGGGTCCAAAGCACCGTTCTCGAACCTGACCTGAGCATTTCATGGGAAGTGGTGAGACTGACCGGTCTGGGTCTGGTTCCAGGCAGGAGTGCAGCGCCCAGGGCAAATGTTACAACCGCGTCATTACCGGGCACAACGGTATATTCTAATGACGTCTCATTAGGAATTAATGACATGAAATAATTACTGTTAAAGTGACCCCTCTGTCAGGGGGATATAAGCGAGTGAACCACTTAACACCAAGAGAACACGGTAATAGACTAAAGCCGGGCCCCGCGGGATTCCCGCCCGGAGACGGCGAAGGTGACGATCTTCTTTATAGAACGGCTAGTGTTGTATGAAGGACCAGCAGCAGGACAGTTTGCTGTACGCGGCTCACGCTTGGGCAGTGCGTCCTTTACACGAACTCTGCCTTTAAAAACTTCTGTGGACCAACGGCACTTGCTCTAAAGGTTTTCACGGGCTCTGAGACCAGTAGGAAACGAAGCCCAGCCCAGGCTTCCTGGGCAGCAGGTGCTGGCATCGCTGGAGGGGTGGGTTGGGGTTTAGCAGAATCCGAGCAAGGAAAATGGCTAAAGGCTACGGCTCCTGAGTACCACATCAGAATTGCTGACGTCTACTTTGCAAAGTGTTTAAATGCATTCCACACATAACTTTCCCCACCTCAGAGTTAGCCACTGGTGCCCAATGGGTACAGCTGGCAGTGGACGCGAAAGAAAATTCCTAGTACGAATAAAACCAACATCCACTGATTGTTGGATAAAGGTCCACCGGTGTCTGAGCAAAGCATGCACGCTAACGAATGCTTGTCGAAGTATCACCTAGTGCTGCCTTTGCAGGGCACGCGGGGTCAGCGGGCTGACCTCACTACATAGGACCCAGGAAACGTGTTGCAGTTCGTTAGTGATGCACTGAGTTCTTTAATGCTCCCGGCACCGTGGAGTGGCGCCTGTATGAGGCAGAGACCAGTATCCTCTTTGAACTGAAAATTGGGCCTCACTCTTCTCGGCCTCTTCGACGGTACAACTAGGCCAGCAGGGACACCGCTTTGCAGTTGGCAAAGCTTTTCTCAGGGAACAGTCTTCATCCTCGTTTGCGAGCGAACACCTGAGGCTGAGTGGCCTCAACAGCTTTAGCTCTAGGCTCAGGCAACCTTAGGTTTGGAACAATGTCCTTAGATTCAGAACAATGTTCGTTTCTAAATAGATGGAGGCAGACCAACAGCAGCGTCTTCTGACTTATTCTGACTGTAAGTGTTCCCAAGTCCTGGGCCCCCGAGAGCAGGTGGCTTTTCCTACTCAACAGACTCACAGAGAGAATGCAGCGGGCTCTCCCGCGCTGTGGTGTGGTGGACAGCACGGGACTGTCACCAGTCTGTGAACCGGGGAACATGACAGGGAGATGTGTCTGTTATTTCTAAGGAACAGCGAAGAGAAACTGGCTGGGGCTGCCAAGAGAAAGGCAGAATTACGGACTTGTAGTTTGTTCTAGGATTGACCACACGCCTAGAGTTGGGACACTATTAAATGTGACCTCCAAACAGCTGAAGAACTAAACACCAGACTCCTATTCAATGGTGTGTATGTGTGTGTGTGTGTGTGCGCGCGCTCTAAAACTCCTAGGAGTGAACTTGCACCTTGGAGTATGAGAACACCGTTTGGGAACAGCGCTGGGTGGGGTAATGGGGGCGGTACACATGTACGTCCCTGGCTCCTCGTGAGGACTGTCCAATCTGTAACACAGACACTTTCTGGGTAGGTGTCGATTGTCTTTATTTCAAATGGAGGATGGGAGGGGAAAAAAGCCACTCAAAGTCTCAGTAATTCAATAATTTATTCCTCTAAAAAAGTGTGTAAAAGTATATAGCTCTCATTCACAAGGTATATATGAATGACATTTAAAATGGAGGCCTTTCAGTATTGTTTCTTTTATCAAAGTCTTTTAGTGTACTGTACCAGCGCTATACTGCAGGGTTTTTTTAAATGAACTTCACATATTTTTGTATTCTTTCAAATTGTTTGCTATATATAAAAGAAGCTCACTGCAAAATGCTTGAAGGAAAAAAGGAAACAAAAAAATTCAGAACTTCCCAGAAATGTACAGCTTTTACATTTAAAAAAGGCTCTGAGATATACATACAGGCATGCTGGACCCCCCCTCCCGCCCGAATCCCCTTTTTAGTTCAAACCATGGTAAGAGTTCTGATTTCTGCAGGATTGCCAAAATTAAAAATTAAAAAAAAATAAAATAACTTCTCACTCTGTAGCAAATCCAGGGCTTGTACATTTCAGATTAATTCAGTAAAAAACTCACAAGTAAAATAATGCATATTTAAGGGAAATATTATACAGACTTTCACACAGAAGTACATAATAAGATTTTTTAAAATCTATTGCCATTCATTTATTTTTGCACAAAAACGTATAAATATGTCACCAGCTTTTCTTAACTTAAAAAACTTAAATAAAAGACACCAGATGAAATCTACCCTTTGCTGCCTTTTTTTTTTTTTTAATTTTTGTAGGGTTTTTTTGTTTTTTGTGTTTTTTTTCTTTTTCTTTTTTTGCTTAGAATTGGGTTTCTAGGGAAGAAAAGCCCCTGCATTAAAAACAGCCCATTAAAAAAAAATTCAAAGTTCTGATGAATTCTGGAAAAAAAAGCAACCCCAAAGTGGTAAAAGATTACAAATATCTACTTTACAATTTGTCTTCTCACCAAGATAATTTTATACAAGTTTACAATCTTCATCATCTTATGCTCTTCAAAAGGCCTTGAGAATTTTTCCTTTCTGATTAAGAAAAAATAGCACTGCAATATTTTTAAAGTCAATTTTACACTGTACACATTAGATACAAATGGTTTTGATATATCAGATTTTTTTAAACCTATACATTGCGAAAGTCAAACCCCCCCTCAATTGGTGGAACAGAGAACAAAATTATCCATTTACAAGTTATTTCTCTGCTTTCACATTCCCACCACACCACTTTTTTAATATAATGTTTTAAACGTTAGATTATTTCAAGAAAAATACTTTTACAAAATCCTATTGTTATTACATTTTCCTTTCAGTTAACACCCAGGACATGGCAGTCTCTTGGAAGAACGTTCGTAGTTTGCACGGTTCTCTGCACAGACGACTAGCGCCCAGGCCTGGCGAGAGCACCTCGCGGGCCAGCCCCACACGCCCTCTGACAACACACCGCCAGCGAGGGCTGAAACGGAATCTGAAAGACAACCCTCTCGGGCCTGGAATGAGGAGTCATAAAATACTTCAATTAGCCACTAATGCTTTAAAAAGGCATTTTTTTAAAAAAAGTCCCACCATGAAGGCTTAACTTCAAGTACTAATTTAATGGTTAAGCTGTAATATTTCTTTGAAATAATATTACTATGGTCCAGAAAAAATTCACCATATTTGTAACTGATTTTCTGAGCAAACACTTTCGATTGTAATATGTACATGAGTCCCCTTTGATCTAATGAGAGGAGAGACCTGGCTTCCAATAAGAATTCACTAGAAAATATATCTCCATAGTGACTATATAAAACTAAGGAAGGTGCGTGCCTCCATGGCTCTAGGTTGGGCTTGACTGCCTTCTGTATAAAATGTTATCCTTCATGAAACGCTGGCCACTTTAACAAGGAATGGGCAGAATGCTTACCCAATTTGTTCTGAGCAAAACCTGCTGCTGGATGGTTAGAAATATATTACTTTTTAGGTCTACCTCCCCAATTTGTTTTCACTCCTTTTCTGGTTCTTAGGACAGAGGTATGTAGTCAAAGAATCCTACAGTGGGTCTGAGTTGGGTTTCAGCTACTGTACCTGGTCCTCGCAAATTAAAAAAAAAAAAATTAAAAGTCACAAAAACCCTATGACAAAACAATTTAAAATAAATAAACAAAATGAAGATGTCTCCAGACTTTTGTATCTACACACAGGTATGAAGTTAGCCAAGCACTCACGCCCCTCGCGATGGGCGTGCTGGGAGAGAAGCCCACGGTGAAATCATGTACTTGAGCTGGTTCTCATTTTGAAAAAGTCCTAGAATATGGAGTTCAGGTAACCCACAGGCCATACACCAATAACTAGAGGATTTCATCCAAAGGGCTAAACTACCCTTAGTTTAGACAGAGACTGAAAACACAGACTCTTGTGTGCAAAAGGATACCATCTCTTCTGTTTCCCTCCTATAAACCAACACCAGCTGAAACTTCCCATGAGCCAGGGGTCCGGGGTGCCCACGCCACACCCTGGCTGGAGTCACTGCTGTGGACGTTTCCGGGTCCATGAGGAAGTGTCTGTGAGTCACTCTGTAAGGAGCACTGCAGAGACAAGACGTGCCTGCGGAGGAGTCACAGTGCAGGCTGCGCAGTGGTCTCGGGAAGAGGGCGGGCACCTGCAGAGGGCAGCAGGCTCCGTGACTGAGGCTGCAGGAGAAGGAACTGAGCCAGAGGACAAGTGCTTTTCCGTTAGAGTATATTCATGATGGCGTTGTACAACTGAGTGAGCACCACAAAGTGGACGGGAAGGCAGGAGGTGCGGTCCTGGGTGGCCGGATTGCACGTGAGCCAGGACAGAGCGTTGTACTGCTCCAAAACGAACCTGTGGAGAGAAGACTCGGGTCAGGGCATGGGCATGGCAGGTGAGGTGATTGCAAATTCTAACATCCAGGTGTTGCAGAAAGAGGCCTAATATCCTCCTGAACTTGCCCCAGGCTCTCTACTGTGTTCCTGCCTTTCATGTCCCCTCTTCCTTCTCGGCCTGCCAGTCTCAGAGGGCAGCCACTGGCCACAGGGGAACTCACATAAGCTGTAACTATACTAGTAAAACGGGCCCTGCTTTGCAAAGACTTAGCATTTAAAAAACATGTAAAATAGCTCCTGAATATTTTTATACTGATTCCTGCTGAAATATTTTGGATATATTCGATGTTAATCCTGATATATTTTTTATATAATTGATGAATTTGCCACTAAAGTTAACCTCACTAATTTTTTTTATTATGTAATGTGGCTACTAAAACAGTTTTCATTAGATATGTGGCCCACGAGGCCAGGGAAGCCAAAATCATAATGAGCCGGTTCTTGCTGAACTGTAATTCCCAAATCATTTAAGAATCTGAAAACCTTAGAAAAAGCTTGTATATTTTCTCAACATACATGAAGAATACTTATGGCCTCTTAAAATGCAAGAAACTTTGTACACACTTCTGGGAGGTACTCCCAACTATGGGGTTTTTGTAATTAACTGCATTTATAAAATTGATATGAGAGGTTAAAGATGTTTGCTGTAAGTTCCAGACTGCCTTCTAACTACCTGCCCTGACTGCGACCTATCTTTATCACCATGCGGTGCCTCCACTATGCAGGAAGCAAGGCAGCTGCACGTGCAGGTCACTGTCCTATTTGCCAAGCCCACCGCCCTGTCCGCCCTGCGTCCGCAGGGGCCTGGCTCCAGCTGGCACCGTGCTCCCCTGCACAAGGCGGCATCTCTCCCACAAACACCGCACTTCAGTGAAAGCCCAGGCAAATCAAGAGCAAAGGAAGTAACTCCCAACGGTGCTGCTGTGCTGCCTGGGTCTGCACCCACCTCAGAACATCAGATGTGGTTTTGGAGTCAAGAGGATGTGGAACCCACTGAGAGGTCCGGGTCGGGAGAAGTTCGTCCGTCTGTGCTACAGAGATGTGGTGATGCAATGACGCCTGCAGAGGAACAGAGACAGTGACCTTCCTGCTCTGGTTGGCCACGGGCAGAGAAAGGGCCAGGCCAGGCCTGCCAGAAGCAGGTGCTCTGAGGGTCCTTGGAAGCCAGGGCACCTATGAGCCTGTGAATTTTAAGCTGCTCAGTAACCCCAATGTGATCCCACATAACTCCGTATCCTAAAGTTGAAAATAAAAGCTGGCACTGTCGATGATTACATCATGTGTCCCTTCAAGTCTTACTCTATTGCCCCACTTGAATATAAGTGGTCACTAGATTCAGTAGGTGCCAGCATACTCCATCCACTATAAAGTCCCCCATCAATTTTTAACTTAATGGTTTAGCATAGTCTTATTTATTAAACAGCTAAGAAATATAATATGTAAAGGAGAGGCAACAAAGTTGCTGAAATCTTTCTCTTTATTTTTCAATTTTTAGGTTAATGAATTGCTGCTCTGGCAGCTTCAATAGGTGACTGATAACTGTTTTGCTTTTCAGCACAATTATGAACCCATGGACTTATTTCATCTCTTGCTACCATCATTCTCTTTGATGACCAAATGGTACCATCCTTGGGCAATGGAAACCCTCCACCGGGTCCTTTGCTAGGACTCTAACAATCTTAGGTAACTTCCTTGCTTTTAAGGATGACAAGATGTCTCAGGTTCAACTTGAATAATTCTTACTTCAGGTCTGGAATCAGTCACCTCTTCAAAGAATTCTGGTTCTTTTGAATGATAAATGGTATTTAGGAACTACGATCATGGCAACAGAGGTGTTTATTACTACTAAATTGTCATTGCTCCTAAGCCTTTTCAGTAGACAGAGTTGAAATATGTATATATATTTTTAGAGAGGAAACAATAAATATAGGGTCATACTGACAATTCTAATTCAAAAATAAAGATTACATGAACTTTCATATAACTTCTTTGATTTCATAATAATATGTTAAAGTCATTAGGAAAAGAAAATTCCTTTAATTATTTTTGGTTTTAACGTTCCAGATGTGTGTGTGTGTCTTATACATTACTGCACAGTAATCTATACTCCACAGATAATTACATAAAAATACTTCTCATTTTGTTATGGACAACTAGTATTCCACTACTATAGTTTATTCAACCAGCCCCTACTGGTGGATATTTCAGCTGTTTCTAATCTTTCACATATGTCATTTTTTGTTTTTGCCAAAGTTCCTTTTGAATAGATTTCTAGAGTTGGGACTGCAGCATCTAAAGAGAAATGCGTAGGTTGTAGAATCTGGCTTCTCCCACAGCCCTGCAACAGAGTTCTGTTGTCAAACCTTTGGGTTTTTGCCAGCCTGTGGGTGAGAAATGGCGTTCTTTCCAGTTTCCTTCATCCAAACTGGAAGTGGGATTTCTTTTGTATTTAACCTTTAATTTGGATTAAAAGTTTCCAAGAAATACACAGGAAGGAGCAAGTGTAAATGTGGAGTTTTCTAGCCAACGCCTGCTCTACTCTGATGAGAGCTGACAGCCCGTGACAGGGAAGGACAGCGAGCTGCCACCTCCACCCAGGCCACCTTCACTGACAGCAGTGCAATGGGAACCGGGAGAAAGACCATCCACAGAACCCGTGTCCATCCTAGAGGTACCCTTAGGGCTCCACCAAGTCCCCTCCTTGGGTTAATGTAATCCATTTCTTTGAGACATGGTTTTGGGTTCATCTCCTAAATCCTACTCTCTACTTATAACTGTAATTAAAATATCCTCAGAGTATAAGTAGATGTGAGAGAACCAGGGAACAGAATAAGACTATGGTGACAGAAATTTCTAACCAAGCAGCAAAAGTTACTCATCCTCCCCCCTCCCCACAAAACTTCAAATATGATACCAAACCAACCTTTAGGAAGAGGGGACACTGGTTCTGAGCCTGGGGACACGATGACCAAAACCACTGGGGGAGATTCTCAGCTTTGGCAGTCGATACGAAATACCCCAGGGCCAGCGGCTGCTGCTTCAGCTCCTCCGGAGCCTCTCGAGAAAGAAGGCGCTCGCCCTGGCTCTACAGAACAAGTGCCCAGCATGATCAGCGTTTGTCACCCAACCACACGATTTTAGAAATCAACTTGAAAACACACTGACATGTAACTGACATAAAACATTATGAGCTTCAGGTGAACAATGTAATAATTCATATCTGGATATTTATATCTATTGCAAAGTGATCACACAGTAAGTGGTTGACATCCATCACCACACATGTTTACAAAACATTTTCCTTGTGATGAGAAGGCTTCAGATCTACTTTTTATCAACTTTCAAATATGTGACACTTATTATTACCTATAGTCACCATGCTGTACACATGTCCTGTGACTGATTTGTTTTATAACTGGAAGTTTGTACCTTTGACCACCGTCACCCACTTTTCATCAAGTCACCCTGCACACTGGTGAGCAATCCCCTTTCAGGCAGCATCTCACCCCAAAATGCCAGGTAACTGAGAAAGGTCAGTAGGAGAGGCACTGTCTCTGCTGCACACGGATATCTGAGGGAAAGTACTGCTCTGGCAGAAGGTACCAGCGAAACCAATGACCTCAGTCAATTAAGTGTGAATTTATTTTCTTTGGTTTCTTGTCTGGAGAATGTAGCTTGTTGCGTGGCATTATTAGGTATCAAACAAAAAATGCAGAGAGTGAATCTCTGACAGCTGAAGGTATCTCTGCACTCATGTGGCAGCAGCCAACCCCAAATGCACAGCACACCTGGCCGTGTGCTGTCAATGACACTGTCAGGACACACAGCCTTCCCGGCTGCCTGCAGGGTGGGACACTCCCGACTGACCTGCCAGCAATGTGAGCTGCTCCTGCAGAAGCTGCGTGAATGCCAGCAGCTTTCCTGACAGGCTCTTGTAAGAGGCTCCTGTGCATTTCTGAAATGGGCATTTCCTCACCTCCGATTCTTTTAGCTAGCTTCAAGAGTTAAAAATACTAGTATAGTTTTCATGTAAGCAGCAACAAGTAGTCTGTTTTCACGAGCCTTCTGCTTCAAGGGGGGAAAAATCCTCAACTATTAAACCAAGTTGTATTAGACCTGAGATGGTTAAAAGATAAAAACTTACTACAACCTTGAACAGATTCTTTCCCCTGTTGTAATGTCTTCACTGGATATCAAAGAATGTTAATGGCTCAGAAAGAGGAAATGCTAAAAACCTCTCAGGGGTCACCTGGGTATAGGTGCTCTGGATTGAGAAAGGCCACCTGACTAGCTAGCTTCAAAGCAGTGCAGTTTAAACTGTGGCATTCAATGAAAGGCTTTAGGGTTGGGGGCTCCAACAAAGAGAGGAAATATAGCACCTCTCTGTTTCTTATAAAACTAACATCACAATTCAATCACCAACTCTAATGAAGACACTGAATACGATCAGTAGTGGAAGCAGTAGTAGTATTTCCATTTCACAGATAAGGTAACTAAGGCTGAGAGGGGGAACGCTTGTCCAGAGCCACAGAGCTAGTCAGCCACACAGCTGTAACTCAGAGCTATATTTATCCACATCCAGGGCATGCATTCTTAGCTGATGATATGCTATTTGCCTCTAGAATTCACAGTAATCCTAAATTTAAAACTATCCAGTGTAAAAATTTGTGTTTCTATCACAAAAATCTCCAGGAAACTAATTGTCATCAACTGGAAAATGGCTTTTTTGGGAAATAAAGACATTTAGAATCTCTCCTTCCAGAAGGAGGAGGTGGGGACAGGCAGTATCATGAGGGCAGCCACGGAGTGGACCTTCCCTGGTTTCACTGCTCTGTGACTAAAGTTTCAAATCTTCTTTCTCTGGTTAAACTCAGGGCTGGCAATAGAAGTCCCATCTGACAGAAGCCGAAGTCCTCTAAGTACACCTTTGTGTCTAAACGAGTTGAGCAGGGTTGCTTATATTTGTCCAGTTTGATACATTAGACATAGCAGTTCTTCTGTGTCTTAACCCCTCAGTCTCTTAATAATTTAAGTAAAAGTACAACACAGTGATAAGGCACGAATCCTCAAGCATTTAACAAAGCATGAGCAATGGCCGGCCTTTGGCTCTACAGTTGCTATCCCTCTGACATTTAAAGATGAAACTACTTGTAAGCTCTGGTTCTTTCCTTGATACCCTAGCATCAGCCTGAACACTTCTCCAAAGGCAGCCTCCTATGGCTTTCCTGTGAGCTGGCTGCAGAGGAGATGAGGACCACATGCCGTAAGGCACCACGGCACGGAACACAACCGGCAGGCTCCTTTCAGAATAATCACCCATCAAGGATGTGTCCTTCAGTTAACACTGTTACTTTGCTTTTAAATAAGTAGGACTGTCGACCTTAGCCTCTGGAAAATCACTCTCTGGGCAAAAATTAAAAAATAACTGGGAAGCAGCAAGTTACCCAAACTAACTTTTGTTAAGAAAACAGTGATTGCACACAACCCTCCCAGCATTAATAAGACTATTCTTCTGAAAAAGCGTATTTATCAGGAATAATATACTTCCCCACACTTATTTTTCTTGTTCCAAGGACCCAGACCAATGAGAAGAAAGGTGCATGGAGTAAAAAGCTGGCCCCGCCTCTGGACTGTTTTGCTGAAGATTGAGATGGTTTCGCACAGCCCCCTTCACACCCTCCTTACCCGGCTGTGCTGGAAGTGAGAGCCCACACCGATTCCAGAAGGAGAGCCGGGGGAAGGGACCGGGGAGGAGTTGGGGGAGGGGAGGTTCCCAGTCATTAATATGCCAATGTCATTGTCCATATCATCTGGGAATGGAAGGTCAAACATGTCTAGAGGGAAGGGAGAAAAAAACACACAAAAATTTAAAAAATTATCCACATACTCAACTTAACCAATACACTCTTTTTGGGGAGCTATGATTATTACAGGCAGGTGCTATTAACAAATTAGTAAGATTTAATGTGTGCGTACTGAGTGCAAGGTGCTGCAAATTATTCTTTCACTTTGCACCCTCTCCAGAGATATCCTAATGTGAAGTATTAACAGAATGAAGAAATAAAGAACATAAAATAAAACTCCACATTCTGTATAGACTCCAAAGGCACATAAAAAGATGGCAAAACAACTAAAGAAGCAATTTAATTATTAAACAAAGTTAACATTGACACCATCTAAGAAAACAACAGACTCCATCTATGCAGCCAATTAGCCTCTAAATCCTGGAGGCTGATGAATGCATGTTAATAGATGTGAACTCGCCCTGAAACTGGAGGCCTATTCCACAAGCAGATCAAAGCACCACGTTTTCATTAACAAATCCTCTCCCATGTTATAAAAGTAAGATACTCTCACTGCAGAAAATTTGAAAAGTACAAAAGAGGAAAACCATCACCCATAACCCAATCACCATGAAAACTGGTTCTGATTCTTTTTCTCCTCTTTGTTATTACATTGTGCTCACACTATATATGTATATAGTGTACATACATATAGTGTGGTATCTTTTTACCTTCCCCCTTTAATAGGAGTAAATGCTGGCAGCTGTTAAAAATTCTTTAAAAAATGCAAATAGCTGCATAATATTGAGCATTTATAGTTATAAATAACCATTTCTTAATGAATGCCTTAATATATTCAATCAAAAAACCCCTATTAAGAATAATCAAGTAAAAAGTTGTTTTTGAACAAATTCTCCTCCCAGTGATTAGCTAAAGGCAGTTGCTATCATTATATTGCCTAGTAGTCTTCATACTTTCACATCAGATCAAGAAATATTTATTGAAAGAGTAACACCCACATACAGTACACTACCAAACAGATACTACTTTTTGTCTTTCATGAAAAACAAGAGAAAGTGAATTTCCCAAAAGAGGAAAGTATTTATTTGGTATTGGTAACAGAGCAAATTAAATCTTCAAAACCAAATTGATTCTCCAACCTTCATTAGCCCCTCTTCATACTTCATGTGTTATCACAACACTGAACAGCCTGCAGCGGCCCCATGACTCCACACCCTAGCTCTGTCTCTTGTGGAAGAAGCTGAGTTCTAGGTAAACATGGTCCCCACTCACCATTGTTGGGGCTAAACCCATCTTCATTGGGATAGTTGGCTGGAGCCACTTGGATGGTTGAAGATGTTGGGAATACCAAGATGTGTGTACAAGAAGCATCTTGAGGGGTGTTAAGCTGAGATGACTGCATGTTTAGTGCAGTACTTCGGCCAAAAACAGAGCCCATTGTGACAGCATCTTTAAAAAAAAAAGTATCAATTCCTTTTGTGCAGGAGTGAACAACTCCAGAAATGACGTGTTTAAGAGGATCTGAGCTGGAAAGATATGAGTCTGACACAACTGCCATGATGAATACACATTCAAAGTTGAGCCCAAGTGTTTAAATACCTATAAGAAACTGACTCCGAGCATACAGCTACAATAACGCAAGCCTCATTTCATACTGGAAAGGTTAAGATAAAATTGGACTGAGTCTACCAAATAGGTTTTAATTACTTATATAAGAAGTATTTCTAAAAATAAATCTCCCACGTCCCTTCCTCCTGTGGTTGCTCACAAACTGTAAAGTACTATTCTCCTAAATGATACAATTCTGTAGAAATGGTACCATTCAACTAATAACTGTTATAACTAACACTTATTAAATGCTTACTACATCCCAGATTCTATGCTACATTATTTATTCGTGTCACCTCAATCATCATGGCCACCTCAAGATAAGAACTATTATCTCCATTTTGTGATGAGGACAGAGCACAAAGAAAGTTTTGTACTCTGCTTAAGTGCAGGCAACAATCAATCTAAGGTCTACCGAGCAGGCTCCTGCAGGCCACCTGTCTCACACCCAATCCTATTTACCTTTACAGGGAGTGAGTGGGCAGGATCTCCCATTTGATGAAAAAAATATCTGGGTGGTAAAAACAGTTTTAAAAGTATAAAATTGCTTTGTCATAAAATTATAATAGTGTAGTTGCTAATTTGTAAATAAAAAACACTACACTCTAGCCTGGCCATCGTGGCTCAGTGATTGAGCATTGGCCTATGAACCAGGAGGTCACTGGTTCGACTTCCGGTCAGAGTACATGTCCGGGTTGTAGGCACGATCCCCAGAAGGGGGCGTGCAGGAGGCAGCTGACCAATTATTCTCATCATTGATGTTTCTCTCTCTCTCCATCTCCCTTCCTCTCTGAAATCAATAAAAATATATATTTTTTAAAAACCACTCTGTGGCCACAATGTTTTGGCTATCCATCCACGGACTGGCACTTGCTGAGAATTTACTGTGGTCCAGGCCCTAAACTAAATGCTTCACCCGTATGTGCACCATTCATCCTCAACTATGTAAGAGAGACTCTAAATATGCTCTCAAGGCTGCTTAGAGATTCTGTCAAACATCTATCTTCAAAAGGATATTCAAATATGTATCATGCTGGTGTCCGTTAATCATTTTTGGAGGGTGATCCTGATAATCTAACAACAAACTGGGGGCAGGCAATAGTTATCAGCCATGACTCTAAGACCTCGCAGTCATAGCCAGAGTGTAGGCTCTCTCCAAGGTGTGGTCAATAAAGATAAGAAAATCACAAACTATGTCCCTTGGAAGAGACCAAATGGTTTCCATTTTTGAACCCCAAGTACAATTTTTCTTATAAAAATAAAAAAATACAGATACATTCTACACTTGTCTATGAACTTAAGTTTGAATGGACGAACTGATGTGATATCTTATTAATGAAACTGACAAGAAGAGATTTACCTGGCATCACTACAAAGGACCCCTGGGGCTCCATGGCAACCAGGCAGGCACTAAGGATAGAAGGAGAGTCTGTGGCAGAGATTCCACACATCCGGCACATGTCCTTGAGCCGTTTACTGATTGTCTGCAGTGAACATTCTCCAAGGAGGATACTCCAATCTGAAACCAAGTACCACAGTTACACGCAGTCTTTACACATTCATGTTGCTGTGAGGTTTGAGTGTTTACCAGTGTTGCCTGGTAAGTGAATTTCCAGGATTGGGCCCTACTGGGAATGTGGCTTCCCACAGGTTCCTCTCCTTGCTATGAAGAACACGTTACCTGACCTTTATTACACTTCATTAACAAAGAAATAAAGGTCTACTATTCTGTAGACTGCAGCCATGTCTGAAATGGCCTGTGAGCATCCAGGACAGACCCAGGTACTAGTAGATTTATACACTTCAGATGCTCTCTGGTGAGGCCACCAGTCTGTTCTATCCCTCCTCCACCTTCCCCAGGTCTGGTTCTTTCACAGCCCCTATCAGCACTTTCTTCAGAGGTGAGTACCATTGGGAAAACCGGTTTTGTTTACTGCTTGCTGTAGACTGGTTGTTTCCACGAAAGGCAAGCAGCAGCAGAAGCGAGGGGGAGCCTTTCTTAGAAAGCCCCAAAGCACTGACAAACAATGGGTGTGAGTGAAGTGCTCCAAGTGAAGCTGCAATAATTACGCAGATTAAAAGTTGGCATAAATTTTCTTTCTAATATCTGTGTACTGCCCCCAAACAAATGGCATTATATCGTCTCAGAGAGCTGTTAGGGTTATGTTAACTCTGGGAAATGAAAAGACGTGGTCACACTCCTGTCACCATGTCACTGACGAAATGCCACTCCTGCAGGCTTCTCTAGCTCTATATGTTTTCAAACAAGCAGTTCTCTCCTGAAAGAGAAGGTGAAAGGAAAAAATTTTCCTATTTCATATTCCTAATGAACCTCAAACTGAAGTGGCTGAAATAAAAGTGGCCAGGAACACAAAGCAGTATTTTTTAAAACCACAGAAAAATAAAACAGATTAAGTTTTGTATTTACAAATTAAATAAGAAGAAAAAGGTGGTATAAGTATTTCTATCACAAACACTCTGGTGATAAAGAACAGAAATTCACCAAGCTGACTGAAATCTACAGGCTCCTGTCTGATACTATCCCATAGAAGCAATGTGTGCAGACCTCCGATCCCTGAAGGAAGAGGCCATAGGTCAGTAAACTGATTTCCTGTGTGCTAGGCTCTTCTCCGTGTTTTCATTCCTTGAAAGCACATTTTCTTTCGGTCACACTTACACATTTCCCCTCTCAGAGACAAGAGGAGTGTGCCCTTCTAATAAATTATACAGGGAAGGCAATGGCCTAATAATTTCGCAAAACACTAAGTGATGAGGCTATATTTTGATCCCCTCTTATTCTTCTCTATTATATTCTAACTTTCCCCAAGGGTTAAGAGTAGCTCAAAATCTTTAAGAAATAAGATTGACTAAAAGGCATACCAGAAGAGAAGATAGGAAATCCGACAGAAATAAAATGATGAACCCCCTAATGTAATAGGCCTCCAGGCTACTGATATCAGATTCATTATAAGTACAATAGTCTTTAAAAAATGAAAAGGGTACATACTATCTTCTATTAGTCTACAATATAATTTATTACTAAAATAATGTATGTACAATGGGTTTCTAAGAGAACATTTATTTAATACATATTATATATTTGTACAATTGCTGTAACACCCTAATAACTCACTCAGGCACTTGTTACAATGCAAGTTATATCTGTATCACTTATTTGTGGAATCCCTGAAATAAAATATAAGTTTTATGTAAAAAAAAAAAAATAAATAACATGTGCACCCTAATACAAGCGTCAATAAACCATGGTCCCAATGCCAATTCCTGCCCGCCAAGTTTTTGTAAATAAAGTTTTATTGGAATACAGCCTTGCCTATTTACTAAGGTGTGGTCTATGACTGCTCTGAAGTTACAATGGCAGAGTTTAGTAGTTAAAACAGTGACCAGCTAGCTTGTAAAATAAAAAATATTTACTATCTGGCCCTTTATAAAGAAAGTTTGCTTTTCTGCTCTAATACACATGCAAGCACAAAACCACCTGTTTTTGCTTTTGTGCTGACCTTAGAAAAAGAAACCTCTCCCATCTCTATGCATATACTGAACTTTTTATAGATGTGTCATTAATTAGTAAGACTTCTGAAAGAAAGCTAGGCTTTTAAAACTGTCCAAGTAGCTGCATTAGGTTAGTAAATGAGCTGGGCTTAAGGTTTGGCAAGACAGCTGCTAGTGGTCAACTGTGTTACGTTAGTTACTTTCAGTGCTTTGTGACGGTTGTATTTGCAAGAAATGATAAGCAGTTGGTATATATATCTGGGAATTCAGCTTCCAGACCGAAGAATATCAGAAAGTGGCAAGGTGAATAAAGACCATTCCAATTTACAACCACTAGTCTTTTTAAATCAGGGTTATCTTGCTATTGTGCTGCCAAAGCAAAATCTAGAAATAGAAAACTTGTCTCTGTCAACCACTAAAACAAAGAACCAAAAAAATTGAAAGCTGTTCTTATATATGACTTCTTCTATCATTAGTAACCTCTGACATAAAATCTGTGTTAAAACTGACTTGTACTTTTCTTTGAATCAATATAAAAAAAGCATTAGAAATTCTAATATACTGAATATGCTTTTTATATTAATAAAACATTCTCTGTTTTATACAGTGGGGTTCACTATTTAAGATTTTCTTTGATTGAGTACATGGTTTTGTTGCCAATGAAAAGTTTAAAAACCGCTGGTTTCTTGTACACTTAAAAGAATGTGAAAATATAATCTGCTTTATTCTTACTACCAATTCTACAATTTTCTCCCTCAGCTCAATTAATGCATCAGCTCAGCCCTTTTCCATTGTTTCTTGTGCATATTGCCTTCAAGAATTTCTCACCTTTAAGCTCCCCATGGCCAAGACGCCCGAGTCGCCCAATAACAACTCTCCAGGGTAGAGATGTCATTTGGACAATACCTATGCACCATTCCCATAACTTCTGCAGTCCAATTTTACGTGCAGACACTTTACTCTTCCGTGATCTAAACAAGAAAAAAATGGGGAAAAGGTCCCCAAATGAATCAAAGTTATCACTCGGACAAAACCAACAGGATTCCAAAGAACCCACCCACACAGTATCCAATGCATTTAGAAAGAGAAATGAGAAAGATTTATATCTCAAAAAGGCACAGCATCACTTTACATGCACCACAAACACCAAGGTTGCTCACCTGTTTGGTAAAGCAATATTTACAATGCAGGTTTCTAGTAACTCCCCATGGAGGTCAGTGCAGGAAGCCAAAAGCCAGCGCTGGTCATGAGACAAACAATAGCCCACAAAGAGCACATTGTATTTCTGGCTTGCTTCACCAAGTATCTCTCCCAGCTCTGTCTGCTTGTCTTTGTTTGGGGCCTCTGTCTGCTTGTCTTTGATTGGGGCCAATATAAAAGGAGGGGAGTAAAGCTGGATTGGGCTGGGCCGCTGAAATCAAAATCAAAATCAATATCAGCACAAAGCCACTCAACTTCATGTTTACAACACAACCCAGAGCAGCACTGAATGAAACCAAGAGGGAATAATGGTAACAGACTGGCCCCCACCAACACCATATATATAAACAGCAATGAAAACACAGGCACCGAAAAGACTGTTTAATGATAGAAGCTAGGGCATCCAACCAAACCAATGTTTCCTTATTAAAAGAAATAACTATTTTAGAAAGTAAACTGGCCCAACTTCATTAGTCATTAGAAAAGTGGAAATTAAAACCATAATGAGACACCACCACACACCCACCAGAATGTCTGAAATAAAAAAGACAGACAACACCAAGTACTGTTCACAATAGTGTTAATCATATAAGCTGCAAACAGAAAATGGCCTAAATACCCATCAACAGTACTAGTAAGATGAATGATACGTTGTGATATAGATGCACAACCAGAATATTAAACAGCAAAGGAAATAAAAAAACTACCACTAAAAGCAACAAAAAGGATGAATCTCAACACTGAATAAAAGAAGCCAGACACAAAAGGTTATAAATTATATGATTCAATTTATATAAAAGTCAAAAAATAGACAAAACTATGTTGTTGTAAGTTGGAGTAGTGATTACTGCTGGACTGACAGGAAGGGACCAGAAGGGAGAGCTTTTGGGGTGCTTGTTACACGGTATGTTTACTTAGTAAAATTCATCAAGCAGTACACTTAGGATTACTTTTCAGCTTGTATATTATACTTGTGTGTGTGTGTAATTTAAGAAATCAAAGCAATAGCTGTTATCCAAGACAAACATTTTAGATAAACTGTGACAAAATTTAATCATCGACTTTTCAATATTTAACAAACAACATCTATGCTATGACATGGATGAACCTCAAATATTATGCTAAATGAAAGAAGCCAGACATAAAAGACGATATATTGTATGATTCCATTTATATAAAATGTCCAGAACAGGCAACCCATAGAGACAGAAAGTAGATTAGTTGTTGCCAGGAGCTGGAGGAAGTGCAAAATGAGGAGTGACTGCAAATAGGTATAAAGTTTCTTTCTGAATTGATGAAATGTTCTAAAGTTAGGCAGCGATGATAGCTGCAAACTCTGTGAATAAACTAAAAATCATTGAACTATATAATTTTTAAAAGGTGATTTTTATATGTGAATTATGTTTCAATAATAATAATAAAAAAAAGAGTCCAGTCAAGGCTGCCTGAAAAGTTTTGTGTGAAACAGGTTAAGTGTCAAATATATGAGGTGCAATAAAAAAAGAAAAATAAATATCTGAGATGCAATAGACAGCTTGTGATAAGTCACCAGGTAACATATTCTTCCCAAACCCTGTTTATAAGATGCTGGATGTTCTATGAAAAACAAAAGTGATACTAGTGGAAGATTTCTTCTAAAACTTGCATGATAAATACTAAGATACAGTCTTCCTTATGTGGAAACGTGCTTGCATGAGACTGTACCACTGTGGAGAGTTAGACTTCCGAGAAGCAGGGGCCTGGTGGTTTGGTTCCCCACCCGCTGCATCCTCATCACCTAGTACAGGGCCTGGCGCACAGCAGACACTTGGCTTTGTTTAATGAATGAAAGGCGGTATTCTAGCTGCAGACTGAGGGAGAGGCAGCATTTGGCAATTCATCATTACTGCAATGCAAGTAAAAATGTACAAACCTCAGTAACTATTCATAACGTTTGGTTTTCTTTTGTTTTTAATAAACTCAAGTGATTTATTTCCCTCTTCCTGTTTCAAAGCAAAAGGGAAAAAAGCACATTTTTTCACTTATTTTCTTCTAAGCCTCACTTTATCTCATAAACTCCTGATGGCACTCTGCCACAAAGTTATAACCTTTAAAAATGTTACATCATGCCTTGGGATATCCTTTACTCTCCTCTATGAAGATGCGGAATACTATTAATTACCATTTGAAGTTGTGATAAATTCTTATCAAAGCATAAGAAATGACTGCATCTGAACTGTGGAATAACCACAAGAAGTAAAAAAAATAAGTTTATAAAGAAATGCAGTAACTCATAATTTCTGAGGCAAAATAAGAAACAGGAAAAAAAATGATTTTTTTAATTTTAGAAAAGCTAATAGAGAAAATAGATGAACTGCTCACAAAAATAAAGATTCAAACTCAAAAGAATAAAACTGCCAAATACAGACATTTTATATAATCCAGAAAGAATGTAGGTTGTCAGCTAAGCAGCTTCCTCTCCAGGGACCAAGCTGACGTGAACCAAGTTACAACAAATGCAGTATTATCTAGAGTTGCATCATTTTTCCATTTCTAAGTTTTTACTTATTGAAGGGAAAGCATTTTATAGGGTTTTCAAAAAACCCCCCAAAACACAAACACTCTTTCACTATCAACTAAAATCAGCAGTTTTGTTGGCTTTCACTAACAGGTAATCTTCCATGCAATACATTTGTGGGAACTACCTTCTGAAGGCTTTGAACATGTTAAACTTTGCCCTGTGCATCTACCTTCAGTGAAAGGAGGTTAGGAAAACCACAGAAGTGCACAACTTTGTTTAAAACAGCTTGGTTTTGGTGTTTTGGAATTCCCCATGAGGTGCATATCTGTGGGAGGCAGTTACTAAGATGGAGAGAAAAAGCATTCATTTGTAACAGAAGCCCTGAGAGGAGAGGAGAAGAAAGGAGTGCATCAGAAAAGGAGGGGCCCTTATGAAATAAACACCCACACAACTGCTGATCAAGAGAGAACTGGAGAAGGTAGAAAGTTAGTGACTGAAGACACAGATTAGGTTCAAAAAATAAACAACAAGGTAAATATAGGAGAGGCAAACATAAGTAAAAGTAATAGACATATTGTTGCCTTAGGTCCTAGATCAAAAAACAGCAAGAGTTTGCTTGCCTCTTTCTCAAAAAACCTTACGAGTTCAGAGGAGTCTCTCTTTTATTTGACTTAAGGATTTAACTACCATTCTTAAATAAAGGAGGAACAAATTCAGCTAACGACTCCCCTGGCTTTCTGCAAAGGTCTGCCCTGCTACTACCCACCTCCGGATTCTTGAGGGTCATCTCAATGCTGGCGGCAGGCCCGAACCCTGTGAGGGACTTAATGTGGATCTGTGTAGGCAGAGGTCGCCTGCACTGGCAGTACACTGAAAATGCCATGGACTTCAAGTATTGAATGTACAAAACTTGTTCATCCTTCATTGTCTGCAGCATGGACTGGCAAGGCACAATCTACAGACACAAACACAAATAAAACTAGAAACTGAGATCAAACATGCTAACAAGAAAGTTGAAAATGAAATGGCAGGAATTCTTAACTTGAATGGGGAAGAGAATTTTAGTTGTAAAATATATGAATGCCAAACATAATATAATCAATCTTAATTCCTTTCAGTGACATAAAATCCTGTATTCCAAATGTACACAAGCAATTTAAGAAGAGGTGCCACTGTGTTGGTCAAGTTACACTGTCACTTAGAAATAACCCTGCTCCTATTTTAGGGGTAAATTATTAATGTACTGTATCTATGTCCCCAATTTTAAAACGTTTTAAAATAGATTTATCATTTATATACACACACATAGGGTGCATAGCATCTTTGGAATTATTGTCTAATCATTTGAGAAACAAATGTCAAAACAATAAAACTACTAACAACCTATTCTGGTAACTTTAATTTTGACCTTTTAATTCTATAAGATACTTTATTTAAAGTAACAGTAAAACAAAACCCAAGCAACTAAGGCATTGTTTTCTACCTATTAAATTATAAAATTAAAAACAATTATGCCGTCAAGCTGTCAAGGGTGCGGTGAAAATGGGCATGCTCACTCATGATGAAAAAAGTGTAAGCAAGTAGAACTTTTTGGGAAAGGAATTTGACAATGCTTATCAGAATCTATAGCTAGGAATCTACTTTAAGAAATGACCTGAAATGTGAGAAAGATATTATACATGAAGATGTTATGGCTTTATTTATAACAGTAAAAAAGTGGAAGCAAATTAAGTAACTGTACAGGCTTGATTAGATAAAAAAGATATGCAGTCATTAAAAATGTTGCTGTGAAAATTTTAAATAACATGAAAAAATATTCATGAATAGCATTAAATACGAAAAGAATATCCTATATAATAAAAGGCTAATATGCAAATTGACCAAACAGCGGAACGACTGGTCGGTTGCTCAATGCAGGAGCTGCCCCCTGGTGGTCAGTGTGCTCCCACAGGGGGAGTGCAGCTCAGCCAGAAGCTGGGCTCACGGCTGGTGAGCGCAGTGGTGGTGGCGGGAGACTCTCCTGCCTCTGCGGCAGCGCTAAGGGTGTCCGACTGACGGCTTAGGCCAGCTCCCCATGAAGCCATCAGTTGGACATCCTCCGAGGGCTCCCAGACTGCAAGAAGGCGCAGGCCAGGCTGAGGGGACCCCCCCCCCCGAGTGCACAAATTTTGTGCACCGGGCCTCTATTAAGTTATATTAAGTGTGATCTCAACTGGGTAAACAAACATACAGAAAAAAGGCTAGAAATACACCAAAATGGTAATGAAGGCTGAATCAAATGTACTTCCAATTATTTAAAAAATCATGAACTTGTATTTATTTTCATATACTAGTAAACAACAACAAAGGCAAAAAAATAAACTTGCAAATACTTACCTGGAGAATGAAAGAATTTCTCATATGCTCAGGTAAATTATCCAGCATCTCTGTGTAGCAGCGCATCAAACTCAACAGCCAAAAGTTTCCAGAGGTAGAGTCTTCCTCTGCAGTGTAGGTGAAGGGGTCCACCATGTAAATGACAACAGCTGGAGGATAGGCCTGGCTGTCTGCGGAGTCAGGCTCCGTGGGAATTCCTATTCTCTCCCTCTCTGTAACACTGCAGAGAAAGTCACTTATGAGATGCAAAAGTAAACATAAATGATATAAAAATAAAGTCGAGTCTAGTGCACACTGACTCCTTGGGCAATGATTACAGATGAAATGTAAGATTAACATGTGTCATATTACTGAAATAAAGGCAATCCAAGCCAGTTAGCACCCAAGATAGATATAAATGACAGTAACTGCCTCTAAATGGGAGATCTCTTTTTTCCTGCAGCTGTAGTCTACAAAGATGGTTTATAATACTATTATATTAACAGTAATAGCTTACTTTTATCCATACATTATATTCATATAGTAACAAATATGTTAATAGTAATAGCTTACTATTAAGCTAATCTATATATATAAAAGCATAATATGCAAATCGACCGGGTGGCGGAACAACTGGTCTCTATGATGTGCACTGACCACCAGGGGGCAGACGCTCAATGCAGGAGCTGCCCACAGCCCATAGGCCCCAATTGCCTGATTGGGGCCTGCCAGCCAACCTCTCAGTCCCTCCCCCCAGGTTGGCAGGCTCTGATAACCCGATGGGGAATGGGGAACTGGGGGTGGGTGGCGGTGGATGCGGATGGTGGGAGGTGGAGCCAGCTGCCAGCAGCTGGGGAAGATCGACCCTGATTGCAGGCCTGGCCTAGGGACTGTGCACAAATTTCATGTGCCAGGTCTCTAGTAAGTTTAATAATAAATTAAATATGTAAGTTAGTTTATAAGAAGTCTCATATTTTTAAAAATATATATTTTTATTGATTTCAGAGAGGAAGGAAGAGGGAGAGAGAGAAACATCAATGATGAGAGAATCATTGATCGGCTGCCTCCTGTATGCCCCCGAATGGGGATCGAGTCCACAACCTGGGCATGTGCCCTTGACCGGAATCAAACCTGGGATCTTTCAGTTCGCAGGCTGATGCTCTATCCACTGAGCCAAACTGGCTAGGGCAAGAAGTCTCATATTTCTTAACACTGAAGCTGCTGATTAACAGCTGTTATTTTCTCTTGTGAAGAAGAAAATCAGAGTCCTTTACTGGATTTAGAGACTCTCGAGGTTGATGGGGAGAGAAGGGTATAGAAGAAAAGTAGGTAAGAGTCCACACGGAAGCTACCCACCTCAATCAATGAGTAACATACCTTTCTTGTCCGTCCTGTGAGGGCTGAGAGGAGCTCTGCCCAGGCTCAGGGTCTCCACCACAGCCTATGTTCCCTTGCGTTCTATCAGCAGAACTGGACCCAGTGCTGGGGTTCTGCCCTCCAACACTACCACTGAATCCTGACGAAGAGGTAGTGCCTAGCTGGCTAACGACGGGAGCAGAGGCAGACGATGAGACCGGTGGCACGGTGGAACCAGATGTGGAACTACTTGCTGCAGGGTTTGCAGAACTGCCATTGGAGGTGGGATTAAATGCACCGCCAGCGGAGGGAGCTGCTGACCCTGCATTTGCAGCTAAAGGTCCAGTGTTCCCAGGAGTAGCTTGTCCCTGTGCTGCTGCTGGTGGGTTCTGGTACTTAGGTGGCGTCAACAGGCTGCTATCGAGCTGCAGAGTGGCTAAATAAGGTGCTGAAAGAATATATGTAGAGCGACATTAGTGAGGTTCTGCAGTGTTAGACAAAAGAAACTCAGAATGGTCACTTTTTTTAAAACTATGCTTTCAGGCTGCAATATTCTGGTTACGACACCCAAAATGCCATCTCCACACTTGAACACATGCTTATATATCACACAAACACAGAAATGGACATGGAAATACTTATTATAAATACTGGAAAAGAACCTTGCTTGAAAAGAAAGAAAATCATTTATAACATTTTCCTTTCAGACTGAATCCATATGCCATCACTGAAAAATGGGAGACCAGCCGTCGTGGTATATATTATGCTCTTATGCATATAGGGCTTTACAAGCTTCTTAGATTTTCTTGTGAATCTGGGTTAAAATTAAGCAGTTAATCTTAAGTCATGCTGCTAAGTTTTTGAACTCTGGAGTAAATTAGATATGACTTCTTTAGGCAACTTTAAATAGCTTTTAAAGAACATACATGCACATGAAAGTTAGCATTTAACTAGAATGCAAAAATTAGATCTAAATAAACACAGTAATGGAACATTAGACAAAAGTAATATAATGTTGCACCCTAACAGGTGTGTGTTGGGGTGCAATTTGCTATTTTCTCTCTCAAATTCTACTTTTCCAAATAAATTCCCATTTACCTAGGTGATGGCGGCAAACTTGCGCATAAAGTTTGAGTCTGGAATGATTGTCATTCTCCTCGTTGCTCCACGGCTGGTTAAACCACTCACTCACAAGCTCGTCGGTCAGCTTCTGTGCCACAGTCTTCCCCACACGCATGATCCCATCACGTAGCACTTTGCAGATGGGCTTGTGCTGCCCAAGCCTACACATCTGATACCGCAAACAAGACCATTACTTATGACAGAACGCATCACCTTGTTCAGCACGTAGTGTTAGTGAGGCACATTCTGTATCATAAACATGGAGGCATTTTCCTTTTTCTTTTTAGTGTGACCACATGCAACTAACCAACATTATAAACTGGTTGGTAATTACTATGTACCCTGATAATACTGCTGTATATTTCTCCAAAACCTTGAGTAGCTGCTCTACAGAAAAATAAGTGTTTCTTCTGAAGAAATGTTTCTGCAGCCCAGCCCATTCATTCTTCCAGCCTGAGGAAAAGCTGCAGAGCACTGACTGCGAGGGGTCAAAAAGGAACTAACAGGTTCCTGCCCACTAAGGCTAACCAAGACATCTGTCCACTGAAACCTCTTAAGGAATCCCCACTCATCACATTTTCCCATAAGATAGCATTAAAATGCATGGGCCATCTGTTAGATTGTTACAGACACTTGGAGATCACTAATAGTAGAGGCCACGGAAATGCTGATCACTTTTATAAAGTAAATGGTTGTTTTAGCATGAGATGCTGTTGTCAATTTCTAGGATGCTAAATGGCAGACAATTAATATACCTGCCAAAAGTAAACTACTTAACTACCTGCTCACCAGCATGAGAGCCCATATTATTATCCCTTGCTAGAGTTAATGAACTGAAGGCTTACCAAGGCCTACAAAATCTTAAGCAGGTATGTATTGCTGCCAAAAAGATCCGGCAAGCCTTTTATGCTTTGTAACTTATGTGTAGGCTTCATTCACATAAGAGAATGGCTGGGCTTTGAAATTGCTTAGACAAGTTTTCTGTGTTCGGGTATGACTTAATATTATTTTGTATCCATGGGCCAGGCACTATTTAGAAACTACTGTATCCAAGGGTTTCCGTCAGTGGCTTAACTGATGCCATTACCTAATACGTAGCATCGCCTCATTTCTTTGCAGCAACACATACGTCTACCACTTCATGTGTACTCATGTTTATAGAAAGTGGATGTTCTGCTATGGAATATTTTTGAAACTCAACTTGGCATCTTATTTAACAACCACATTTGTAATACTTATAATATGCCTGTCACAGTTCTAAACACTTTACAAAATCTCATTAACCAATGTCACCCCAATAAATGTAATAAAAAAACTTATTTAATTTAATCTTGCCAAATATGATATCAGAAGTAAAAAGTACAAAGAACTTAGTGTGTGTGTACTTTGGCAGAAGAAATGTGGTACTTTCTCTTCAAAGACAGACATGATTCTAATTTTTCAAAAGTAACAGGAATTTATGTACTAAATATATAAAATTATCTACCTGGCTGTTACATTATGATGGTGATTACATTCTTAATGTGTATCAAATTTTCAGTATTAAGATGAATGTAGTGTTAAACAAAACATAACAGGGGCATGATTCATTAAATGTATCTTTTGATTTAGAAATTTTCAAGCTGAACATTTTTATACAGTTCTGCCCTCCCCACAAAAAGAGTAGCCACGCCTTCTTCTTGCACAGCTCATCTTCTGAACTGTCCTTTCCCTTGGTGAACAATCCTTTCAAACCTGAACACATCAATGGGGGAAAACAGCTAACAGGATTTAAGATGTGTGGTAAGGCTAGTAAAGTCTTCTAAATCGAATGAAATATAAAGCAAGATGGAAACGCAATTTATTTCTAGAAAAACTTCCCAACTTAATTCTTTCCTTCATCTTCCAACTAATTGCAAATTTTCTTTAAGAACTACTTTGAAGACATTTATTCTTTAAAATTTAGTCATAACCAGAAACAATATGAGGACTCATGTCAAAGAAATGGTTTCCAGGTCTTCCTCACCTCATATACAGCGCTCAAGTCCCTGAAGAAAGTTTTGGCTCCTTCGAGCAAGGCCTCATTTTCTGGACACACCACAATATAGGCAACATCACGGTGGCCCCCATATGGGTCCAACAACAGCCTCTCCCAAAACGGCAAGGAGAATGGCGAGATGGTGAGGAAGTCTTTGTCATAGCCTACCAGCAGGGTGGGGATGGGCAACGGCTCAGGAGATTCTTCTGAACCTAAAACAACAGTGCAGTTTAGGAAGGGGCCTGGGAGTCTGATTCCCACAGCTGAACCATTTGGAAGTTCCTGGTGCCCTCGTCTTAATTCTGGCAGCAGGAATTTCACCGTAGGTTGACATGATACTCTCATTAAATGGCCCCTGATGAACAACTTAATTAAATGAGTCTGAACATGTTCTAATGGTTCAATCGGAGGGCAGAACAGAAAAAGCTGAAGGTCATTTTGCAGCAGCACTACGTCACTTCCTCTGAGGTAAGTGTCATAATCGGGACCTTGACAAAACCAGTTCAGAAGTTCATCCAAATGAAAATGCCACGAAGACAAGGAAGAAGAGACTCTAACAAATGCTCTACTTGGGGATTATTTCCCTCATTGACCCTGATTACGCCACCAATGTTTAGAAAGCTTAACTTCAACACTGACTTTAGGAAAACAAATGTAAACGTAAGACTGTTTTGTCAGTGAAGCAGTGACTGACTAAGCCGCTTTCCGGAACAGGAAGCTGAGGAGGCGCGGACGGGAGGAGACCGTACCGTAGGTGCCCCGGCCTGCCATCTTGTGGAACTGCTGCCAGGTGAGCGGGCCCTGCACGTGCTGGATGTTCTCCCAGGTCCTGCCCGTGCGCTTCTTCTGGATGGCGTCTTGGAGAAAGGGCTGCAGGGACAGCAGCATACGGACCACATCCTGGGAGGAGAGCATGCTGATGTCCAGCACTGGAACAGACAGGAAGTGAAAATAAATGGAAATCATAAAGGAGGACTAGACTGGCACTCTCCTCTTTCTGGCCATCACGCTGGAACTGTTATAGTCCATGACAAAGACATTATTAGTGGTAGAGTCTATTTTTAGTTGACTCTAAAATACTTGACTCAGGAGACAGAAGGAAAGAAATTCTTCTACTGAAGTGAAAAAAGTAATTTATTATTTATTATTGGAAAGAATACAATGGAAAATAGGTTACTCTATATAAGTAAAGAGGTTAACTATAGAACTGCTTAAGAGTGGAAAGATGCATAGGCCTGGCTTTTTAAATCGTATAAACCTGTTTCCAAGTTGCTAACCAGGAAAGAGAGCTGCAAACATTTCTTAATTATTGCATAACTTTAATTTATAAACATCAATGGTTAGATTATATGATGAGTGGGGAAAAGGAACTATAAGGTTTTGAAAACTTTAAAAAATGCTCTTACTATAAAATATTTTCACAAAATGCATATCGAGAAACAAAGCCTTCCCTGCAAGGAGAGGTGCCTGAGAACAGCAGAAGCAGTGATACGACAGGAAGCCACCTGTGCACAGAGGAAGGGCGGGGACTCATGGCTTCTGAACAAACACTCTTCCTTCCAAACTGAGTTGTGGAAGTTGTAAAGATCCTTCTGAGATATCCAGGTAAAGGAGGGGTCCTCGCCAGCAATTTGAAAAACTTCTGAAACTCTATGCAAAACCGTGCATGCATACGTGCATGAACATGTCCATTTTTCCCCAGGAGAGAAGGGCCATAATGCTCATCAAATTCTCAAAACAACCGGACGAGCTAAATAATTTTAAGGTGATCAGTTCTCAATCTGCACAGCTGGGTTCCTGAAGACCTTTCCTTACTCTTACTTTTCTACTATTAGGAAGGGGCCTGGATGGAAATCTAAGGTTTACCTACCAAAGAAATCCGACACGCAGAGTGCTGAGGGTTCTTAAGACATCTTTAGATTATGTCCTTACATCAAACACAGTTTGCAAATTGGTGGCCATAGTTTTTTTTTTTTTTTTGGGGGGTGGGGGGGGTGGGGGTGGGGGGTAAATCTCTCCAGGAAATTTCATATACAAATCTGGATTTCTAGCTTCTCTTGACAAATTGGGAGACCTGGCAACTCGAGCTGAGGTCAACACTGCTGCACAGCCCCCACGGGCTGGAGCCGAGGAGCAGCTGCCCCTTCAGACAGTTCTCCACAGTTCCTCCTTGGCTGCCTGCCTGAGACTGAAGCAGTGTTCACATCTTTATTTCCAAGCCTGTACTTCTTTTTTTTCTTATAAGTAAAAACAAACAAACAAAACACCCAGTAAAGTACTTCTTACTCTATCAAAAGCAGGAAAATGAGAGACTTAGAGAACCAGATTAAAAGCAGACACAGTTCTTTGTGAACCCTATTTCTGTGCATATAAAATAGAAAGTGTGCTGTGGAAGGACACAATTCAGGGCATTGCTTTGTGCAAATCTGGATCCCCGCATCATGCATTTACATGACCTGTCTGCTACATCCAAGCATCTGAATTTGGAACCCTCGCCTTCCCTACAATAAAAGGTGCTATTCTTCATATGCAAAGATGGCACTACTGTTCCTCCCAGACAGACTGCTTTTCTGTCTGAAGGCCACTATCTAGTTAAAAGGAACTACCAAGATAATCATCCTCATTTCTTCAGGGGAAAGACTGCACTTTCTTCATAAGTTCATCCAACAGACATTAATTAAAGGTCTGATAAGTATAAGGCACTCTGCTTATACCTAAGCAGTCATAAAAATAAGTATGACTTGAACACTTTCTTAGGAATTTCCACTTCCAAGAAGTCTCCCTGCTTAGCCTGCTCAGAAAACACCTGCCATTCTCTACTCCACTGAACTCTGTCCTCTGAACATTCTTTTATTATTCCAGAGTTCAATTTAAGAAGCTCATATAACCTTGTCCCTATAGGACTGAGAGTTGTTCAGAAGCAGGGTTCCTGTTTCATTCATGTAACCCCGCCAGCCTGGCCTCTGTCCCTCCCCCATTTTACAGAACCAGCTCTCACGATGGGTACAAGACGATCCTTACCTTAAAAGCTCAGCTGCACTTTAATGCTTGTTGACCACTCTCTTTCTTGAAATGTGGTGACTTGGCAGATTTCACCAAAGCCTGCCCCAGGCCCTGCCCTCATTCTGTGCTCTCCTCTTCAGGGAGCTTTCCTCCTCCCCTGTGCCCCTGTCATCATCTGTGTGGCCCACTACTCTCTTCCCCTGAGCTCCAGGCCCATCAAGTCCCAAGCATCTACTCCACATCTTTATCTCAAAACTTCCAAAACTCAATTTATGAACTTGCTCCTCAAACCTGGTCTTTCTCCAGTCCACCTACCTATCTCTGAATGACACCACTGTCTGTCCAGGTATACAAGTCACACACCTGGGTGTCATGTTTAAGATTTTGCTCTCCCTGAACACCCAAGTTCAACCTAGTACCAAGGCCTACAGTACTACTTTCTAAACATCTTTATAATGCTTCCACTTATTTTGCGTTTTCTTTGCTAGGATGCTAACCAAGCCAATGTTTCTTATATGGTCTACTACATTACCCTCCTAGTCTCCCCAAATCCACTCTGACATTTTCTAAACCACAGCCCTCATGAGGGTCAGAGTATATTTTTTCTTTTTTAACACAAATCTGATGAAACAATTACACAAACGCATATCATCACTAAGCATTACAAGTGGTGAAAGCATGAAGGAGGAGAGGAATGCTGGGCTGGAGGAAGACTTCCCTGAAGAAGTAACACTTGAGATCTCAACCATGAGTATAAATTAACTGTCCATTATCCAAAATAGATTAGAAATTCCCGAGGGCACGTACCTTGTTTCTTTCAGTCAGCATTTTATTCCCCAGTATGCACCACGTTATTGATAATGAATGCATAAGGGAAGGAGAGAGCAAGTTGCTTGACACTCTTAAAGCTCAACTCCAAAACTGTTTGTCAACTCCAAAAATGAGCTTTTAATAGAAGAGCCAGTGACATGACCAGTAACTAAAGGACAAAGTAAAATGTGATCACTGTTACAGAGAGAAAATACTGAGAAAACAGAGGAAGAAGAAAATGACCTGTAACTGGGTAGAAAACTATATGGAAGAAGTAGCATGAAAACTTGACCTAGACGAGTGAGTGGGTTTAAACATGAAAGGCTGTGCAAATTATACTCTTGATGACTTTGATACTCAGCAGTCACAGGCTTCCAATATGAAATGCCTCTATGAATTAATAAAGAGGAAATTTCCACAAAGCAAGTGTTCCTCTCCAAAGGTGTTTCAATATAAAACATTCTCTTAGTCCTTAAATTTAGGATGATATCAACATAGTGCTCACTTTAGCTATCTTATTTTTTAAGAAATGAAATTTAAAATTTTATCAAAGAAAAAGTAAAGAAAGTGTGTAAGCCACCATCACGCCAAGCTCGTCTCCAAAGGGCATTACTATTCTGGGACACCTACCGTTGCTATGAGGCCAAGAGTGCACAGTGGCACTTCTCACCAGTGCTTCATCCACTTTTCCCCCTGTGGGATTATCCACATACTGCCGCCCTTGCTCCAAGGCATTAAAGCATTCCGTCCAGTAATCATTATTATCTGCTTGCACCCGGTCGTAACTCCAGCTTACGCAGGGAAGAGTTTGGCGGTTGTTCGAGGAAATGTAGTCCAGGAAACTCAGTGAAGCAAAAGGTTGTGTGTGTTGGTTCTGGAGGAGGAGGAGAAGGCTTATAGGTGGCTCCTGGGGTTTTCTGGCTGCCTCCATCTGAGGAAGGAAGGTGGTCTGACACATCATTAAGCGCCTCTCTGCAGCCTGACCGATATCAGAATTCTTCCCAAAAATATCCAACTCATCTTCCAGGAAGAGTCCTGAATTGTAACCAAGTTTGCGATTCATAATCGCACTGAACCCACAGGTACAGCGGTACTGGTCCTCGTTGGAAGAATCGGGGATGTAAAGCCCGACATCTGCCCCTTTGATGTTCATGTTGCAGGCACAGATGCAACAGCTGTCAAAGTTTCTGTCTTTAAAGATATTCATCACAGAATCAGAGAGAATCAGGGTGACATAGAGACTGTGGGCTTCTGGAATTGGCTGCATGGTGGCAGGCTCCACAGAGTTAAGGGGCCGTGTGGTAGAGGGGGTAGAGGCTGGTGACCCCTGATCGGTGCTGTCATATTTAACAGACCCTTGACCACTGGCAGTGCCCCCACCTCTGGGAGTTCTTGGGGTCCTGGGGGTTCGTGGCGTGGGGACAGAGAAGCGAGGGGTTGCTGGCGATGGCAGAACTCCTGCTCCACTGTTGCTGGCTGGGGCAGTACTGTTCAACGTCACTGGTGTGTTCATTTGTGGTGTGTTCAGATAGTCTGGGTCTGCTAGGCTCCCGACGCTAGGCACATTGCTGCAAAACACAGACAGCACCAAGTAAGAATCAAAGGCAGGTTGCAGAAGCTGGAATACACACCTATCACCCTGACCTGGGTTGTACATTTCTTATCATTTATGTGTGTTATCATTTGGTGTACTCAACTTTCTCTTTAAAAAAAAAAAAAAAAGGATTCAAAGGAGTCAGTGCAGTATGTGGGAAAGCAAAAAGTGAGGAATGAAGAAAAAAATCAATATGGCACTTTCCTTTTACTCATTCCATATTGAAGCAATCCTCATCTAAATCTTTTGAGGAAACTTTTAGTATTTTTATAGAAAACATGATGTTGGATTTGGTCAATGTAATTCTGAAAAACTGTAACTACTAAATGGAACTTGAACATGAGTTCAGGTGCTAAATTAGGTAGAAGACCATAGGATGAAATTTCCATCTAATTTGCAATTACATTTTTGTCAGTTTTTGAAATTGAAAGTCTGCCAGCATACTTGTTCTCTGAGGCTATAATCTATATACGATTCTGAAGTAGTTATAATCAAATGCACAAGAAAATTTAACATTTTCCTAACTTTCAAAATGCAGTCCTATCTAGGCTTGCATTTTATTAGTAATGTGTGACCATGAGGGAATTCTATTTTAGGAAACCCATTGGCCAGAACTACACTACAGTTAATAAAAATATTACATATGCTGCTAAGAGGCCTTAATATTAATTAGGTGATTGCACAGAAGTACACATATTGTATTATAATTCGCAAACTTGTAAGATTTCTGTGGGATGGAAGGCAATTCTAGTTCACTTATTAATTTCAAAATGCTATGCGTTACTTATAGCACAATTACTTTTAGTTCCCAGAGACTTGAATGCATTGCACTATTTTCTCATAAGCAGTGACTTCTTTTTGGAATAGCCACATAGAAAACAAAATAGTATCTGCAATGTTCTACTGTTTTATTACTGCAGAAAATTTTCTTAATGAACATTCTTACAGATATATGTAAACCAGCATATGAGACCATTCTTTCCAATTAGAAAAGAACACAGATTTTTTTAGTGCTTAGTATTCTTTTGAAATCTATTAATAATGTACTTAAACCAATGTTCCTCCAATAAATTACATATTCATTCACTTATAATTTGAAAGAAAAATATCATAAAGTAATGGCTCTTCAAATAATTTTCTTGTGATTTTTAATTAGCTATGCCTAAACGACCAGCCTGAAAATCCAAATCAGGCACTGTAAAGATATTTTAAATTAGAGGCACACTGATATCTTTGAATACAGATAAAAAATGACCCAGAAACCTTGATTAGCAATCATTGCTATCTCAGCGACCAAAATAATGTGTGTAGTAACGATTTTTACTCTAATTGGACTCCTTTCAAATTTTTCTGGTTCAACTAAACCCTAAAATTATTATGCAGTTCAGATCAGAAAAAAAAAGCTATGACTACTAACTGTAACCTAAATAATTAAATTGCTCCCTAGGTAGTAAGAATGTATTCTGTACAGTAACCTGATTTCTCCCAGTCAATAAAAATGAACTGAGTACCAACCCTATGCTAAATGCTAGATATTCAACAATGAAAAAGAGAAAGAAAAGCTAGCTCACAGCAAGTGTGACAGGCATCATGCAAATAAGTGCTGGTGTGCTGAGTGTGGCAAGTGTGTGTGTGTGTGTGTGTGTGTGTATGGAGGGTGGGGTGAGAATGGGGGATGTCCAGAGTGATGGAGACCATGGCAGGAGGATTTCACATAGCTCAGAACTGAGTTGCCCAATAAGGTAGGCACTAGCCCCATGTGCTAAATTTAAATTACCTTAAATAAAACTAAAAATTCAGTCTTGATCTCAAATAACCACATTTCAAATGGGACATAGTTACAGCATGAGAATAGTAGGTGCCATATTAGAAGGAAAGATACAAAACATTTCATCATAGCAAGGTCTATGAACAGCATCAACAGTGCCAAGTCTTTTGCTTTACCTAGTCCATTTCGTCCCTATATTGCTTACTTGGTACTGACAGAAATTTGAGCTTGTGGCATTTTACTTTATAGCACTGAAATTATTTTATCAAAAAAGTATTAATCATGCAAGAAACGGATTGACTGTACACTGTTGATTTAAGTACTATTTTCTGGATCATATGAAACATGCCCAAGCTACAATAGCACCTCCTTTTCCTTCCCCATACCACATTGTCATTCTTTTGCTGCTTCCTCCTATGATGTGGGGTCAATGATAGAGATATTGCCAATGTTAATACTTTTTTTTAAAGGGCCTTAAGTAAACACATTTAAAAATCATCAGTTTACATAAAACAAAGCATAACCACCATCCCCAAAATTATTACTAATCCAATCTAGTGCTTGATTCTGTGATAAACAATGATTTGACATTGAATGAGCATGAACACCATGATTCTCTATACCCGTGGTTCCCAACCTTTTTTTGGCCATGCCTCACCTAAGCATCTCTAAAATCCTGATGCCTCCCCCGTAACATATAATCCTAATTATTCAAAAAGTGAACTCCTATTCACGTGGAGGAAGCCTAAAAGTCCATTCACTTGGTCTAAACAAGCTTCCAAAGAACATGGCATTCATGAAAAAGAAAAAGAAAAGATGAAAAGATAGTTGAAGTACTGAGAAATAAATCACTAAGAAATTGTTTAAAAAATATATATAATATGAAGTGATATTAAAAAATAGCAAATAAAGTTTCAAAACATATAATAGAGAACTGAAATGCATAAATATGTCACTATATATATTTACATACTGCTTATGAGGCCCATAGAACCATAAGAAATGCAAAAAATTCACTGTTAATAACACATTCTTGAATTGCCCCCTTTAAAAATCAAATTGCCTCCCTGTGGGGCATGTGCCCCACATTAGGGAACCATTGCTCTATACAAGTAACCCTAATTTTTCCATGTACATAAAATTTGGTTTAGGAAATAACATACATTTTCAACACAAAATAATGTGCCCCAAAACATTAATGGCCAATAAAAGCTTCAAATCATATGCTACTGTCATCAATTTAAATAAATATTTAGTTGAGATAAAAATCACACGAAATATGGCACATACTTGTAGCCATCTCTAACGAAAGTGGCTGCAGGTGGCATGGGCAGTTGTTCAATTTTAGGAGGGATTGCCCACGAAGGCCGAAACAGACAGGCATCAGGTATCTTCAGAGGTAGCAGGCATTGGCTCGGCAACATCTTCAGTGGAGCAAACATGGAAGATCCCACAAAAGGTTGAAAAGTTGGAACTTTGTGCACATATGAGAAGTCCTGCAACGACAAAGTGAGGTCAGCGATAATGTTGGTAAATGACTTAGTACACAGCACAGTAATGACAAAAACTATTGTAATTCAATATTTCTTTTATCTGATCAGTAGAAAATGCTAATACCATAATTTTATAAATTAACCAAAAGACACTGTAATTACTTCTTGATCCAATTCAGAGGATTGTTAGAAACTTACGTACATTTGACATAAAGACAGTATTATTTTAAAGAAGATGCAGCAAATCCACTTGAAAACCACTCTGCTTGGTAAAATTAGTACATTGGCAATTACCTTTATTTCCTCTGGCTTAGGGCTTCCTAAGCCATCTTCCACTTCCATTTTGAATTCAGTGAGTTGTGTTGAAACCATACTGACCATAGGACTCTCCATCATGCCTAATGCTGTCACTGTCTCTGAACTGATCCCATCTTTGTAACTCATCACAGGAGAAAATGCAGGGTGCTGTTCCAAAGAAGGAGGGGTGGGGAACATCCTTTGCAGGTCTGCAACTGCTAAAAAGCAAAACAAAAAAATACAAACCATTTCTCTTAACAGGGTGGGACTGAAAAGGCACATCGCAGTTCACAGCCAGATGAGTTACACAACAGAATATGAATAATGGAAGTCTCTGAGAAGAAGGCCATCAGCACAGAGTTATCCTTTCCTGGAATTTTATCACTATCCTCTTGATCATTCAGGATTTGGCCTCACATTAATTAAGGGAGCAAAAGTCTACAACATTTTTTTCCCCAACAACTGATTCCCTGAGAAGTCTAAGAAGCTGGAAGCAATTACATGGAGTAACCACTTTATTAAAAGTTCTATCGCTATTATAAGTATGTATGACATATTTCAGAATTATAATTGTTATGCAGCAAATTTTACATAGAAAAATCCATCAAGCATTTATGTTAGAGAAAAGAAAAGTTGCCTAAGCTATAATTATGATTTATACATAGTAGGGTTACTTAGCTAGTTTTTGACAAATCCACAACACTCACTGCTCTTTGAGAAAATGATTCCACACTCTTTCCAAATTGACATTAAAATGAAACTTCATAGTTAAGATTAACAAACCTACCTAGAACCAAAAGACAATTTATTGAGAATTAACTTCTTAAAAAATATCTTTCAAGAAATACTCAGAACCAACCATTTAAAAAATCATTTTAATATACCTGAGATTAACCATCATCAACAGTGGCTCATTAAGGCACTGTTTCTTTTTTTTACTTAATACACATTTCCCATTTATTTGTTCTAATGACTACTTTTCAGTTTACAGTATTTTCTGTCTTTCCTGATGGTTTTAAAAAATCTGTCAAAAAAAATGAGTTTAATAAAAACTATATTTTCCAAGTACAGAGTAGTTAAATTAAGTAAACTAAATCACAGGAGAAGACCAACCAGAATTTAGAATTCATCATTATTCTCTGGCATTCCTCATATTTAACTTTGATACCATCATCACAAGCAATAACTTACAAATTAAAATTAAAAAGTTTTACAAGTAATGTATCAAAATACAAATATATAAGTTTTTAATATGCATTAGAAAAAAACAAAAGTAGGAACTTAATTTTTTTTAATAAATCTTTCTTGTTGAAAGTATTACTTATGTCCCTTTTCCCCCCATTGCTCTCTCCCCGTTCTCCCTACCCCACGCCTTTTTAAAGTAGAAATAAATGGAAAGAAAACACAAGTTGTGGTTGTGAAATCTGGCCACTAGGGGGTGCCCTGTACAGCAAATTCATTTACTAATCTGGAGTCACAAGTTTGATTTGGAATGGCATCTGATACCCCAATTTCCAGTCACATTGCTATTCCTAGCAACCTCAACATTTAAAGGGGCAAATAGTAGCCACTGACTAAATTAAGATGTGACTTTTAGCTCTGAATAAGAAATTAATAAAGCATAACTGTACCATATTGTCCCCTGGGCTAGAGTCTAAGGCACAGCTGTCTAAAGTAGTAGTGGACTGGGTTCCACAACCCAGGTGCTCCCAGCACAGCACTGGTATGCTCAGGTCACTTCCTTTCTTGGGACCTCAGCTCTTTCATCTAAAAAGGAAGGCTTGATTAAATGTGTGATTCTCACCAGGCTTTCTTTCATTCCTGAATGGGGGGAGGGGTAAGCCTTCACCATATGGAGGAAGAAAAAATGGTGAGAACCTCTGGATTCAATAATCTTTACATGCTTCCTAGTTAAACAATTAAATAATTCTAAATAATTTACCCTTTCTTGGCCTCAGGTACTTAACTTGATATTAAACTATACCTAGTTGTTACTGTGTGTTGCTTTCCACATTATTGCAATCACAAATGAATACTTATGAACCTATACTTTCCAACACAGGACCCGCTAGCCACATGTGGCCACAGAGCATTCAAAATGAAGCTTGTCCAAAATGAGATGTGCCTGTGTGTCAAATATAACCAGGTTCCAAGAGTTAGTACAAAAAAGGATGTAAGTAAAGAGTTAGTACAAAAAAGCTCACTATCTTTTTACTTGTAAAAATGACAATTTTTGGACATTGCCATTATTTAATATATATTATTAAAATTAATTTCATGTTGTGTTTTTCTGTAACTACCAGAAAATTTAAAATTACTTATGTGGATCTCATTTGTGGCTCACCCTGCATTTCTATTGGATGGTGCTGTTCAAGACATTAAATGTTATGTCTGTCTTTCCACCTCAATCCTCATATATAATAAAGAGCTAATATGCTAATTAGACCAGCTGGTAGAACAACCTTCCGGAACAACCTTCAGGAATGACTAGTGGGTGGGGGGCAGGGCTGTGGGGCCATGAGGCAGCCAGGGCTGCGAGGGCCTACCCTTGCACGAATTTCGTGCATTGGGCCTCTAGTGTATAATAAAGCTACTGCAGAGATGAGAACTTCTTGCCATTATCATTTTCATCATCATATCTTGGGAGGAAATATTGTGTGTAAGTCCACACACATATACTTTGTACACATTAAAACAATCTTCTTGATTCTTATATATCTGTATTTTCCTGATGCTAATATTTTTACTACATTTCAAATTCATTAATTTTTGTAAACTATACTTTTTCATAAAATATTGAGTAGTTTCCATTTAAAACAATCCCATTTTGAACAGAAATGAGGGAAGGAAGAGTGTATACCATATACTTTATTTACTGAGCAAGACACTAACCAGCAGGATGGTTTGTGAGTGAATAATCTTGGACAAGTTATTAGACATGTTAACAAGTAACATCACTATGTATCACTTAATGTCAAAAAGGGAGAGGATTAACTGGGTCAACACAAGGGGAAAAAATTCACTCAGTTGACCTATTCCATATGTATCCACTTTAATACTGGTTCTTTTAATCTGTGAGTTCCATGTTTGTAAAATTCTGCAGTGCAGTGTAATAAAAAAAGAAAAATGTTTAATTAAAAATACTACAGCAACTGGCTGGCTATCATTATTCATTTTCATACATGTCATGCTTGAGAAAGCTTTGCATATTTTAAAAAGCTACGGAACCATTAAAGCTGTCAAAATCCAATCTCTGTATACTTCATACTTCTACATTTGAGTAAATCAGTTCTACATTTATAGGTTCATAAAACTTTTTGACTCATCCCTATGACATGGTGGTTTTTCCCCTCAATTTGTTCTCATTACGGCCGAAGTTAATGAGAAGGTATTACAGAATGATTTGCAATGGAATTATGTTTCTGCTGCAGTGTGTCCACAAAGCTACCCCGACTTTCTTTTCTCTTGTAGAGTAATGCGTTTTCTTAGGGCAAAGAATAACTAGAAAAAAGGAAGTTTCTCTTCTAGTCAGCATACATAATACAGCTAGTTGATCTCAAAAGGAAGCACAAAATTTCAGTATGAATCAGAAAAAGAACCACAGAAAACAAACAGTATTCATTACCTCATGTGAATTAAATTTCTGAAAGTTGAAACATTTTACACAAGAGCTTACAGTGGGGTATTGCTCTGAAAATCACCCTGCAACATTTATCCTACTAGGAAAGGGCTACTCAAAAAACAAACCTAGAACATGTTTTTCCACATTTTAAACCATAAAAGTTAATTCTTAATTTGAAAACAAAGAGCAAAGGAACTCAAATTAAGATGGACTCTTAGCTGCCTGCCATCTTAGGAATGCCAACTTATACAAGTTTAAATTATAGTTAGTATTTTTTAAACGGAAATAAAAAAGGAGGGGGATCTCAGCTGAGGCACTGCTGGGTGTGACAACATTACATGTAAGGTACGAGGAGTAAGCCAAAGCTCAATCTTTTTCTTACTTGGTGCGTAATGAACAGCAGCTCTTCCATCCTTCCCAAGAGGTCTGTCTTCAGTCCCAACTGTTGGCATTTTTGATGAACGAAGTGCAGGTGATACAGCCTAAGAACAGAAAAGATGCTTCTTTATTAAGTGTTCACCAGGTGAACCACTAGAAATACCAGCAGACAGTGAAACAAAGGAGTGGTTTCAAGCTCATCAAGTATGAGAAATGGAGTGACGAGTCTTTTCATGGATCTGGTGCGGGCAGATTGTGCCATCAAAGCAGAGCCTGCAGACCTTAAGCAAATCTTCCCTCCCAGGTCATTAGAGACATAGTTTCAGGAACACAGTAATTACATTAGGGTGGTGCCTCCAAGTAGTAATTGGCAATCAGTCTGGTTTTCCTTCTGTTTGGAAGAAAGCAGCTAGAAGAGATGACCTCAACCCCCCCCTCCCTCCAACTATTATTCTTTTATTTTTCCACACACACACACACACACACACACACACACACACACACACATATTATTTCCTTTGGTGTGTTTTTTTAATCCTCACCTGAGGATATGTTTTCCATTGATTTTCAGGCAGAGTGGAAGGAAGGGAGGGAGGGAGGGAAGGAGGGAAGAGAGGCAGAGTGAGACACACACACACAGAGGGAGAGGGGAGAAGGAGAGGGAGAAACATTGACGTGAGAGAGAAACATTGACGTGAGAGAGAAACACTGATTGGTTGCCTCCCGCACACATCCCGACTAGGGCTGGGGCTGGAACCTGCAACCGAGGTACATGTCCTTGACTGGGAATCAAACCCGAGACTCTTTGGTCCATAGGCTGACCCTCTTAACTGAGCCAAACCTACCAGGGCTATATATGTATATATTTCAATATCAGAGAGTTGAAGTATAAAATTAAATTCAAAGACATTACAGGTGAAGATTTAAACAACAGCTTCCCCACTCCAGATACTAGTAAAGTGAATTAGCAAAATGATTCTAAGATAAACTGATGCCTTGATTAAATGCCAGGGTAGAAATGAAAGTAGAAACAAACATTTCAGAGAAATAAAAATTATTTTTAGAATATCCAGCTCTCCTTTGTATAGTGACATTACTAAGAATATATTTAAGAAACAATGTGAACATTACTTTACTTCGTTCAACAGTCTTTCCTAATTGTTACAGAAAATAAGCATGATGGCTCACAATCACTAGGGAAAGTGGCTGCGAACAGTGCTGGGCTATTTCACAATGCTTGCTTTTTTTTTCTTTTCTTACTTCTCCCTTTCTACTTCTTTTTTAATTCCCTTTCTTTTCATTCTTCATTCCCACCATCACCAGGAAAGCATCGAACCTAACCCTTAGGATTATTAAAACCGATCATAGGCAATTCTTGGCTTTAGAGAAGTTAAAAAAGGATCTCCCATGCCTCGATCAACAATAAGGAAATGTGTCATTTCTTCTACCAAAGTTTGCCACACTGCCATGTCCTTTTCCGTCATGCAACAGCGGCCTGAATTCCAGTTCTCATTCAGGGGTGGGCAAACTTTTTGACTCGAGGGCCACAATGTGTTCTTAAACTGGACCGGAGGGCCGGAACAAAAGCATGGATGGAGTGTTTGTGTGAACTAATATAAATTCAAAGTAAACATCATTACATAAAAGGGTACGGTCTTTTTTTTTTTTTTTTAGTTTTATTCATTTCAAGCGGGCCCGTGGGCCGTAGTTTGCCCACGGCTGTTTAGGCTGATGAAAACCAGCATTCCCTTCTACCAGGTCAGTTCCACTCTCAGCAGCCTTCAGAGGAACACATTACTGGTAGAGTTCAAAGTCCATAGCACTAAGCATGGCCAGATCCTTCCTAGCCTCATCAATCTTTACCCCATTTAGAAAACAGACCAATGGAATGGCCTGTTCATTATCTCCCAAAGCCCAGCTAGTTCATTCCTATTGTGTAACCACAGCACATTCCAGGCTCAAACTAATGTCCCTCCCTCACCCCCACTAGCCAAGTCTTTCCACATTTCAAGTCATATCGGTTCTTCAAGGGCATTATGATCTCAGTAGAGGTCCGGTGCACGAATTTGTGCACAGGTGGGGGGGTCCAGCCAGCCCGCCCCAATGGGGCTGATTGGGGCTGGGCCGGCAGGGGATGTGGGAGGTTGGCGGACCGACACTGCCCTCCCCCACCCCTCTGCCCCCCCCCCCCACGATTAGGATGGGAGGGACCACGGGAGGTTGGCTGGCTGGCCCCACCCCCAATCGGGCTGGTTGGCCGGCCACAGTGGGTGTCATAGTGACTGGTCATCCTGGTGTTCTGGTTGCTGGCTTTTTAGATATAGATAATCTTCAAAGTACTTATAATACTAACTAGAGGCCCGGTGCACGAAATTCATGTATGGGGAATGGGGGTCCCTCAGCCCAGCCTGCACCCTCTCCAATCTGAGACCCTTTGGGAGATGTCAGTTGGGCATCCCTCTTGCAATCCAGGACTGCTGGCTCCTAACCGCTCACCTGCCTGCCTGCCTGATCACCCCTAACTGCCTCTGCCTGCCTCTGCCCCTAACTGCCTTGCCCCCCTGCTGACCTGATCACCCCTACCTTGCTTCCCTGCTGGCCTAATCGCCCCTAAACTTACTCCCCTGCTGACCTGGTCACCCCTAACCGCCTCTGCCTCGGCCCCCGGCCTAAACCGCAGTCTGGCCTCCCTCTGTGGGAGGCAACCTGTAGGATCAGGGAAAGGCGCTGCCCCCATTACCTCACTGCTGCTGCCACTGCCAGCCTGAGCCTCGGCCCTTCGCAGCCACCTGCAGCTGCCTGAACCTCAGCCCTTGCAGCCTCTGTGGCTTTGTCCGGCAGGTTGTCCGGAAGACACCTGCTCTAATTAACATATCACCCTTTTGTTAGTATAGACTAGAGGCCCGGTGCACAAAAATCTGTGCACTGGCGGGGGGGGGGGGGGGATGTCCCTCAGCCCGGCCTGTGCCCTCTCACAGTCTGGGACCCCTCGGGAGATAACGACCTGCTGGCTTAGGCCTGCTTCCAGGTGGCAGAGGGCAGGCCCAATCCCTAGGTGCCTGCTCCGCAGCCCCTGGTCGGGCTCAGAGCAGAGCTGATTGGGGAGTTGGGGCGCCGCCCCGTTATGCACAGAGCAGGGCAGATTGGGAGGTTGCGATGCCACCCTCAGTCACACTCAGGGTAGGGCCGATTGGGGGGTTGGGGAACCGCCCCCTGTCACACTCAAGGCAGGGTCGATGGGGAGGTTGCGGTGCCACCCCCTGTCACGCACAGAGCAGGGCGGATCAGGGGGTTGTGGTGCCACCCCTGTCACATACAGAACTGGCCGATCAGGGGGTTGGGGCACTGCCCCCTGTCACGCACAGAGCAGGGCCCATCAGGGGGGTTGGGGCTCCGCACCCTGTCACACACAGAGTAGGGCTGATCAAGGGGTTGGGGAGCTCCCCCCTGTCATGCACAGAGCAGGGTCGATCAGGGGTTTGGGGAGCTCTCCCCTGTCACGCACAGAGCAGGGCCGATCAGGGGGTTGGGGAGCTCCCCCCTGTCACGCACAGAGCAGGGCCGATCAGGGGGTTGGGGAGCTCCCCCCTGTCATGCACAGAGCAGGGCCGATCAGGAGGTTGTGATGCCACCCTCAGTCACACTCAGGGTAGGGCCAATTGGGGGGCTGGGGCACCGCCCCGTCACACTCAAGGCATGGTCGATGGGGAGGGTGGGGCGCCGCCCCGTCACCCACAGAGCAGGGCCCATGGGGGGTTTGGGGGGCTACACCCTGTCACACACAGAGCAGGGTCGATCAGGGGGTTGGGGAGCCCCCCCCTATCAAGCACAGAGCAGGGCCGATCAGGGGGTTGGGGCGCTGCACCCTGTCACACACAGAGCCGCAGGGCAATCAGGGGGTTGGGGAGCTCCCCCCTATCAGGCACAGAGCAGGGCTGATCAGGGGGTTGGGGTGCCTTCCCCTGTCACTCACAGAGCAGGGCGGATGGGGAGGTTGTGGCCCTGCCCCCGTCACACACAGAGCCGCAGGGCGATCAGGGGGTTTGGGCGCTGCCCCCTGTCACGCTGATCCCGGTGCCGGGAGGCCTCGCGGCTCCGCTGATCCAGATGCTGGGAGGCGTATTACCCTTTTACTATATAGGATAGAGGCCTGGTGCACGGGTGGAGGCCGGCTGGTTTGCCCTGAAGGGTGTCCTGGATCAGGGTGGGGGTCCCACTTGGGTGCTTGGCCAGCCTGGATGAGGCAATGATGGCTGTTTGCATCTGGTCACACCCCCTTCAGGGTGGGGGTCCCCACTGGGGTGCCTGGCCAGTCTGGGTGAGGGGCTGAGGGCCATTTTCAGGCTGGCGGGTGACTGAAGCTCCCAACCGTTCCTTTTTTCCTTTATTTTTTTTTTTATTCTTGGATTTATGGCTGTCACTGGAGCTGAGAGCCGGCTTTAGCTGTGAGACCTCGCTGCTGAAAGCAGGTTTCTGGCTTTGTTTACTTTCTGTATTTGAAACTTTGTTGCGACTCCAGCTCTGAGATCCCGGGTGACTGAAAACAGGTTTCTGGGGTTTTGTTTAGCTTCTATATTTGTAACAATGTTTCTTAGGAGCTCAGAGCCCAGCAGCGGCAGGCGGGGAACATTGGAGTCCTCCGTCACTGAATCAAGCAAGCCTCCTGTTTGTGTCAGTAGCCTGGCTGCCGGCCGCCATCTTGGCTGGCAGTTAATTTGCATATCGCCCTGATCCTATCTAATAAAAGAGAAACATGGTAATTAGCCGTACAACTGCTACCCTTCCCACTGGCTAATCAGTGAGATATGCAAATTAATTGCCAGCCAAGATGTCAGTAATCGCCAACAAAGATGGCAGTTAATTTGCATACTCGCGATGAGAGACTAAAGGGGAAGGACTGAAGAATGGTGAATGGTAACCCAGGCAGCAGGCAAGAGTTGGGGGGTGGGCAAAGGCCGCCTTTCCCCACCCCCCAGCCAGTGATCGCCATCGGAAAGCTGGGGTTGCCCCGCTGGCCTGCGGCCCTGATCACCATGGCGATCAGAGGGCGGGTGGGCTGGGGCGCAGGCTAGGCAGCAATCCCGGACCCCCGCCATGGCAATCG